AATTTGGCTTCTGATGAGGAGTCTTTCTGCGTGCAGCCTGGCCAGAAATACACTGCTTTTAACCATTCAAAATGTACAAGGAAAGAAATGGGATGGAAAAAGGAAACAGGTGAAAGGATGATTATATTTACAGGAAAGACCAGATAGTATTTGATGATTTTTCAGATATCATTAGCTTCTTTTTATCTTGTAAGTCATGGCACACTATTCCCTGTTTTTCCATGCAAGACATTTTCTTCATCTTCCATAGTTAGTGTTGCTCAACAGTTACTTGCCACTTTTCCCATGCATGAATCATGCAAGATCATCCTCTCAACCTCTCTTCTGCCTCCTATACTGTGCAGATAAACCTGCCACTTTGCAAGGGGATCTCATACAGCTAGCACACAGTGAGTTCGATGCTGAAAGCACAGCAAACATGGAAGACGCTCATCAACTGAGTCACGTGTGTGATGAAGACTCTGCCTCTCTGCATATCACGCAGATTCTTCTGCATACACACCCATGCAATACCCAAGTCTTCTTTCTTTCCCAGGTAAACAGCATTCCTTATTGCTAAAAGAGGGAAGGAGAGGAAGAACAGGCTCACAGTATCTCCTGTTGAGGCATGTAAAAGAAGAAACAGGCTTCAATATGACAAGTATGGTTTATTCTGCCTCTGCTACAGCCTTGGAAGAAGGGCTTCAGATTTACTTTAGTTTACAGGTGTAATGGGTGTATTCTGGAAAAAGGGGAAATAGCACTTTTAAAATTAGTTGCTTTTTGACCCAACTAGAGCATCAGATGAAAAATCTTTACAACACCACATTACTCTCAAAGAATTCTTTATCCCTTCATCTTTGTGTGTGTGCACGCACGTGTGTTAGTGTATGTGTATTAAAGTCACACAATAGTAGTTCCAGACAAAAAGTCCTTGTAACTACTATTACAAAACCAAATCCACAAAATGATTACACAACTATAAAAACTTACTACTTCTAATAAGACAGTCTAGAAATACATGGTGAGGAATAGGAGTTTCATTGCTAGTAATTCAGCAAAAAAGATGATTCATTTTACTTATATAAATATGCATATATGCATGACTATAGATTGCCTTAATTACCATGAATGCAAACAGCATGGCAGACAATCAATGGAATTTATAAATGGAAGTAAATAAAAGAAAAAATATTTCTAGAGAGGTTTTATTTCCTGAATATTATTCACTACACAGCAAAAGAACTTAAAAATATTTTTGTAAGCAATACACTTGCATATACATGTCATGATCATGACAATACGAGGGAAGCTATGACCAGATTCTTAACCGTAAGCACCATGCATTCATGCAAGACCAATGCATGCACAAACACACAATGCAATTAAGACAATTGTCTATGTGTAAGCTTATCACATGCACGTGTGTCTGAGCAGCTATTGTTCATTAGGTTTGCATATCTGTTTTCCTCTTCTATTTTCCCTGAAGGAAGCAAGGCTGACTGGAAAACAACAGCTCACCACCAGATAAAACACTTACTTTTCAAATTTCTCTGCACAAGCTGATTCTGCAGTTCTGTTCCAATCTACATTATCACGTCTTTAAAGCTACAGTCCCCTCTGAACTACAGTTTCCAGACACACAATTTTAAAGTATTTTTACAAGCCACACAAACATTCTTTTGAAGGGTAACAACTTACAGTGAAAGCGTCTGTACAGATCATAACTAAGAGTTGACATCAAATTCTTACAGGTGAAATCAGTTCATTGACTTACAATTCAATATGTGCTTTAAGTAGTGGTTAGAAATATATATTTATTTATTTATTTGTATGTTTGAAAAATATAACAACCACGTTTTAAGGAAGCAAACCACTTTGCCATAAACAATAACCAATCCATTACCTTGTTTTAGGAAATTCCAAATAAAAATCATACAATGCTTTACATTTTGGAGTCAGCAAAATTATAATTTTGTTGTAAAAACAGGCCAAACAATACCTGATATTCTAAGACTTCAACTACTTTCTACCCTGTCCTTAAAAATCGTAGGTGCTCAGAAATATGACACAAGCAAAAACATTGCAGTAGTGAAAGACTGTATAATACAGACCAAGTATAGATGCAAAACACACAGTACGTGATATGAGTCAAATGAGACACAAATTTAACTCCAGTATTTGCCCACTCACCACTTTCCTATCCTGCTAACTCTTTTGGAAAATTGACGTATCAAGCCCTAAATGTATATGCAAGTATGAAAAGCACCCAATTTCAGGTTCCCTCTTGTGTTTTCACAGTATTAATGTTTGTGCAGTTTTCATCAAGCATGTAAACCCTGCTAAAGTAACAACTCCACCTAGGTGCAATGTGCTTCCCCCTCCTGCCAGTGCAATGCAAAGATATGCATCTATTTGCCAACATAAGTTTATTTTTCTAATGGACTGCCATCCTAGGCTGTCTAGCTTGTATCCTGAATATTTTCATTTGGAAATTACACAATCTTCACCGGCCTGCTGCCAATGCTCCTGATACATTCTCTCAAGTATTCTTAGAGAGCAATGAAAAAAGTCACTATCCTCCTATTAAAAACTAGGTGCTGTGGAGATAAACAGTACATTTAAATTAGATACAAACACAAAACAATAAGCCTTGCACGCATATTGTTCTTTAACTCTTCCTAATTTACCAGAACAGGGACAGACAAATGTCTTCAATCCACACAGGCAGATTATATTCCAAGCAACACGGAAAGTTCTAAAGAAAATCTGAACTATCAGACACTTAAGATACACGCTTCTTAAACACTACCTTTCTTTCAAGTATTTTAGTTTATAACATCTACTAACAGGTTACTTATTATCCTGCATAACTGCCATAAACCTACCACTTCTCTGTACCTAACATTTTTGCTTTTTTAAAAAAAAATCTCATTGTTTGACTGAATTTTCATCTAGGCAGCTGAATTTAATCTCAGACGTGTTTACCATCCTTATTTTTTAAAAAGTAATTTAATCTTCGACATTTCAGTATGTTATTAAAAAAAAACCTTAATAAATCATTATAGGATTATTCTAAAAACAGCTTTTAAACGCCCAAATTACAAGCAAGAAACAAGGAAATACAGTACAGTACCCGCTGCAAAATGGAAAGATACCACGGATGACAAAGCAAGCCAGACACAAAGTGGTACACATTTCAACACAGATATTCAAACAGAAGATTAAAAGTTGCTTTGATTTAGTAGTTCAATGAGAAAATGCCCCAGAATGTCTACCAAGGGTACATATTGAACATTATGTTGCTGTAATTTATCTATTATCTTTATAAGAAAATGTAATTGAATTGTTAATACCCAAATAAAATTCTAAGAAAAAAAATTTCTCATCCAAACCAGTATGATGACATGATATTTACCCATAATCCCTTTTTTAACTTCCCTAGGAGTAAAAGCATGAAGAAATATGTGACTTATCAATGATTGATCTAAAAAGTGTATCAATTTTACTTTTGTATGTATAACAACTTCTATTGGATATACAAATATGTAAGTGTTAGCTTAGAAGAAAAAGCTTTCTAAATAGCACAAAATATTAACTTAATGCAGCAGAAAAATAATACACATGAAACTAAGTAACTACCTGTTTTTTAACGTATCTGTGAGCAGCAGAAGAATGCCATTTCTTGCAATTAGACAAAAATATTTCACAGAGAATCAGTTTATGGTATTCACTTGCCTACTTTGCAGAAGTTAACCTTTTGAACCATTCTTGGGGTATGCTGACCCCTAAAGGTCTAAAAATACTAAATCTGATTAAGCCATTACACATTTAAAGTATAAATTGTCAGAATACAATTCTCCACTAAGTTACTCCACCATGACTATTTTTGTTTTCAGAATATATGATTCAAAACCATTTATAACCTCACTCAGTAATAGCTCAAAATTCTATGAACTAAAAGGGGTCTACAAGTAGTTTATTTTAAACAATAATCTAGAAAGAAATTCTTTTACATATGTAAGAAATGCATCAAGATGGAGTATGTCTTCTTTCTTCTAAACAACAGACTCTTCATGAGAAACTTGACATTTATTACCTTTTGAGAAAGAATACATAGTATAATATCTGAGAAAAGGAAATACACAAGATGCTATCAGGCTCTGATATAGGAGGCATCTTTGATGCTGACACACCTGTTTTTTTATAACCTACACATAGACACTTACCGGAAAAAGTCCACCCTTTTATGATGTACTGAAGGCCTCTTTCCTGTGTCTTTCTTCAATCTACACATTATTATCTAGTCACAAGACACTTTCTGACAATTCTCTTCTGTAAAGTCAGTCAGTCACACGATGTACTCTCAAACTCAGTGCTCCCCCCCCGCCTTTCCCCCCCCCTTTTTATTTTTTAAGTTTCTGCCATGAAACATAGAAGGATGTATCCGAGAGCAAAATTTTGTTTATCCAAATACAAGAAGATCCATCCATCCTGATGGAGATGAAAACTCCATGAACCATGGAAGTTCCAAATTAACCAAGGCCCCCTTTACGTCCAAGCCTACCTTACTGTCTTATATTCAGTTGAGGTAATAAGGAGAAACTTTTTAATATTACAAGATGGCTTAATCATACTCTAGGCTGGTGTGAATAGCCAAGAAAGTTACTTTAAGACAGACTCCAGATTTGTTGTTAATCCATTATGAAAATAAGGTTGGAAAGTAAAGTACAAGGTACAGACTAACGATTTGAATAAGACTTCTCAAAGTTATACAAAAACATTTTCAATGACTCAGAAAATAAAAATAAAGCTGATGATTTACATTCCTGTAGCAGCTCTCCTGTTATCCCAAATACTTTTAAGAGGCAGTGTGTGGCTGTGGGTCTTTTTGTTGATTTTTTTTTTTTTTCTTTTCTGCCAAAGTCAGTCATATATCGGCAGGAACAAATGCATTCCAGTCACAGCCTAGCACTGGTACAACACCTGAGGTTCCTTATTAATATCTTAAAAGTCCTTACCTTTTGACCAGTTCTCCATTTGTTCTTCCGAACTTGTTTGATCTGGCACTGACTCTAGTTTTTGCTTCAAAATTGTTGAGCTAAAATAAAGCAAACTCTAGATAAATAAACTTGAAACAATATATTGTAACACACCTATACTTTGCCTTCATTTGACAGAAAATTTACAAGACAAATGACTTAAAAATATTTATAACAAGACAATAAAGTCTGAATACTTTAAGAGTCAGTGCTAAATAATATTTCAGTAAAATATTTTTTCTTCACACATCTAAGTTTTACAATGGTTTCGTTCAGCTTTCTGTTGTGTGTAATGCCTTCATTGAAAAATTTATTAGCTTGTCTTCTTGTTCTAGAGTCTGGTCTTGGAAGTGTCTGCTACTAAGCACAGCCCAAATCACACTGAGTGGTCCCGCTAGAGGCAATGAGACTGCTCACTTTGGTCATTATTACAGATGGCGGTATGCTCTTTACTTTAAAACACTCTTTTTCTCCCGCTTTGATTTCCTGGGTAAAATACATGTAAAGTGGCCCACGACCACTCCAACTCTGAATTTTCAGGGTTTTCTAAACAGCTAAATAACCCATGCTAATATTTGCATACGTACTGCTTCAGACTCTACAGTTGATTACACAGTTGCAGTATTCCATATAATCAAAGATTTACATGCAACAACTCTCAATACTCAAAAAATAAGACCTGCATTAAAATTTCATGCTTATCTGGTAACATTTTGAGTGTTAAAACATATGCTCTCTTATATGTTAAAAAATCAACTATGTTCTATATGTCAAGGAAATATAAATAAATTCGCAATCTTGCTTATATAGTAAGCTTACCACAAATTTTACTACTTACTCAAGTGTCTCTTTTAAAATGTATTGCACAAAGGACAATTTGTCATCTTTAACTATGTAGTTGTGCTTATTTTGTATGTTTTCCCTGCTATATTTTTTCTACATTTATTAAAAAGATATAAAATCTGCCTTGAAGAGGCAGTGGCTAGATATTGAAAATATCCAGAGAGTTGTCATTGTGCTGATAAAAGTAAGAGTTAAAAAAAAAATTAAGTACACGTTTTAAAATTCAAGCATGTGATATCAAGACATATGTTATAACTAATAAAGCAGCAGAAGAAACTCTTTTCCTATACAACACCAAAAAGGCAGCTGTTTTCATTTTTGTCTTTGAGATTACAAAAAAGTATAACAACTGTGCAAACACGATTCAACAATAACATTTAGATTAAGCATTCAAGAAATACTTATTTAGCTCGTATTTGTTGTTAGTTATAAATGTGCATGACAATAAAAAAAGTATATGATTTGATGTGCTTAGGTCTTAACAGAAAATAACAACGTCACCTCATATCGCAGAACACTGAGCTCCTTACAAGAGTCCCTCAAATGAAGCTGTACACTTCTTTTTCAATTCTGTGTAACTGTGTTGATTTGGAGTTGGCAATCTTTTCCTAAGTTCCTCATTTACTTTTGGATTAGCTGAAAATATAGAAGGTTATTAATATCAAGAAATAGGTTTCTGTCAATGAAGCCATTTCCCTACATATTGCACAAAAAGGTTCATAATAATTGCAGTATTTCAATAAGATATTCATATAGCAAGACATGAAGAAAATACGGTATTTAATAACCTCTGGAGTATTTTAAAACATGTCTTAGGGCCTTAATGTGCCTAGTAATATACTATTTAAAACCATAATTTTATCCCTCCACAATATACAGTCATTCTTCCTCGCCATTTACCCAGCTAATGAATGCCAGCAATTAGTAAAATGTAATCCCATTGCACAATCATTTTAATGCTTTTAGCACTCAGAAAAGTAAACACCAAATTAATACTGCTCAAGCCATATCAGATCCTAGTTGGAAGCAAGCAATTATAGTTCAGCTCCTCAGGTGTAATTAAATGATTGGAATGATTTAGTTCCATAAATGCAAGTTAATTCATAAGCAAGCAACAAATATACTGGGAGTAATTACAAGAAACATTGACAGTCTAAGCATGGCATGTGCCTTCGTACACCTGATGTAGGAAAATGCTGCCCTCTCCTGGAAATAATAGACTATGGCACGGGAATAATTGGAGATAGAAGTCAAGAGGCTCCTTTTACAGACTTTGTCTTCATAGGTGAAATATGTTTTGCCAACTAATAGGAAATTTCTGGTTTACACAAACAGAAAATAAAAATAGCTGATATCAGATTAAGGCAACCTATCAATCGAAGTCAAACAGACAGACCTTTTGGGGTTCCCTGGAGTTTGCTGGATACTTTCCCTATTATTGCAAATAAAAATGTTCCTAAATAAAACAACAAAATATTCCATACACTAAGTATGTAAATCGGTTGTTCTGAACACAAACGCTGCAATAGGTATCTAACTTACGCACAACACTTACATATCATTCAAGACGCCTTTACAACAGCTACCTTGAACGTAAGGTATTTTTAAAACCAGAACTTACTGAAGCATTATTATTCAGTGTTAAACTTCACCACATCAAAAACAATCAGAAGCTGGCCGTGAAGGTCTTACCAGGAGGATTCATCAGAAAAATGAAATACAATTATTTTAAAGGTTTTCTTTGCTTTCATTTGAAGACAATCTGTTAATAATCAATCTGTCCAACAATCAAAAGAAATTAAAGCTGGAGATTAAAATAAAGTACGCTGGTGGACCGAGACAAAACTGAAAATGAAAAAGCATACTGTACGGCAAAATCTGGAGTTAAAATATAAATACTAATTTCCTTATTCACTACCTATTTATTCAACCAGCGTTAGTGTTAAAACTACTACCTGAACATCATGCATAAAAAGCTAAAAAAAGAAAATAATTGTCCTTATTTGTTGAATATAATATGCAATAGTCACGTAAAGCTCACACTAAATATTTAAGTACAAAACTACCTACAAATATGAATATAAATTAACCAGCTTCTTCGTACTAATGAAAAAATCCCAGATCTACCTATTTTGCCCTCTACAGAAGTAACAAACGCTTCTCAGTTCTGCATATAGCAGCATGGGAGAAAAATCATACGCTGTGGTCAGTATATGACTGTTTTCCACAGACAGAAATTGACGCTAAGAAAGCTCAATTCAAAAGCACCTGATCACTGTAAAAGCCTGAAATTGTTCTTTACCAATAGCACTGTGGCATCAAAATGTTTCTTTGTTCCAGATCTCTGTGTATTTCAAAACAAACCCAAGCTGTACACAAATACCTTCACTGTTACTTTACCTATTGTGGAAATGAAAGAAATTATTTTAAGAAGTCGTATTATTAAAAGTTTAAAATGTACAGCACATTTGCTTTGCCCTTTGATGTCACAGTCCTATTTTTCTATTCAAATCTTGTACACTGTAAGTTAATTGCTTTTGGAAACTACTTATTATTCATGTAAAAATTAATGTGCCAATGTGTTTAAATCCTTTTAAATGACCATTCATGCATCTTTCTTCTTTAAGTACCAATGAAATCTGTCAAAGACATCAATGCAAGATGGTCTTAGAGAAAGTTCTAATAAAGATTTTTTCTGCTAACATAAGATTTCCATTTTCGTCAACTTTACTTAAATTCCATTAATTTTTTAAGCTGCTTTTAATAAATTCACAAGTAAAAAATTTTAGGCTCCATAGTCTGTCATTTGTGTTCCAGCTGACTTTATGAATATTAATAACAGTGTTATCCTGATTAAATAGGCTTCATATAAAATCCCTGTGAATCCTATAGCTCAGACATCTCATTTTTCCAACTCTTTATGAATTTGGATTCAGACATTAAACTGGAAAAAACCTTAAAAAACAGATTCAGTGGTACATTCGTGTACCCTTAAGCAAAAAATTAGATGTTCTAATGATTCAAATAATTAAAATTGATAGGACCACATACTGAGATTTCAGGCTTTCTGTAAACATGCAACATATTTTAACTCTAATGAAAACGTCAACACTTCACAGAACAAAGGATTAAGAATCTATTATAAAATAATAATAACGTCTATCCTTATCCTTACCTTAAACAACAGATGATATTATCTTAACTCTTCATATATGGACTGCTGATTTGCAGAAGTATTTCCCAAAGAGAAAGAAATTGGTGAATGCTTAATTACATAAGCATACACATGAAACATTCTAGTTTAGCATGCCCAGTGAAAAACAATATTAACTTTTAATTGGTTTATACTTCAGCAAAACCAACCTTTTTCTAAAGAATGTCAAATCGAAGCACACAGGAAATTTTAACATTATGCTATGAGACTCATGCACTTTCAAACTGTCAACATCTTCCCATGCTTATATGTTTGAATTATTTACATCTATGACAGATAAAAATGGAAAACTAAGCTCACTGCACTGCCTTCACATTTTTTTTTTATTTAGTGCTAACTAAAATTACTACTTCCTCATTTATTCAGGGATGATATTCTGTAAAGATGGCCTACAAAATATTTTGCCTTTCATTACCTTGAAATATGAACAGATTTTAGAAGAAAAAAAAGCTAAACAAAATAACGGCATATTCAAAAGGAGGCATTCCAGTCCTGGTTCTAATTACTCATCAGCACAAACACTTATTAGGAATTAAACAAAACCAAGAAGTATATAAAAATAACATACATCTGCATAGCATAGGTAGGAAGCATGCAGTGATTTACTTGTGCAGTTCTGAACAGCTTTTACTACAGCTGTGGCAGTATTTCCACTTTCAGAGGAAAAAACCTCTGGAGTCTCTGCAGAATATATCTTGCACAAGGGAGCACCTCACAATAAAACCAACTTCCAACCATCTGAACAGTGATGTTGACCCAAGATATTTAGATTAGTGACAGTCTGCTGTAGCTGCCAGCACTTTCCCTCCCTGGGCAGGAGATCGGAAAGACCATCTTCTGAGCTGGAGCTCAGTTACTGACTTCCCCTCCCCAGGAACAGAAAGGCTCTTGAGATCCTTCCATATGGAGCCCTGCTGACTGCAAACCCCCATTCCTTGGTCTTGCCTTGACAGGTTTTGAAGACAACTACTGAATCACAGCCTTAGCCGCTGTGACAGGAAGCAAACGCTTGCTGGTGTCGATCGAATTCACCTCCTCTTCACAAAAAGTCCTCGGGTCTTGGGAGAATTTTTCTACGAGGAGGGCTACCCCGCCTGCTCTGCCTCTGGTTGAACAAGACCCCAGTTCCCACCACCCCTTGGAATGGCACCGAGCCAGTCTTTGTCCCCCTTAATGATGCAGTTGACAGTTGTCACTGACAGTGCAGGGATGGAGCTCTGTAAGGGAGGGAACACCATATACTTTATGGACAGCGAAATAAAGAACGAATTTTAGTATTATTTTCATAAGATTAATTAGATTACCAGGATCTCCTAAAATATCCTGAAACGTTTTGCCTCAGGCCAAGCTAAACTAAAAACCTTAATTTAGGAAGGTACACTACATAAAAAGCAGTTACCTTCTAGAAGCATTTCCCTAGGGAACAAACAGTTTTCTTAGCCCAGGTGGATGCCAAGTTTTGATGCAATCATACACTCCTCCACAAAAAAAGTCCCATTTCCTCACAACCTTAAGAAAATTTACGGCAAATCAGAAATCTAAGACAACCCAAAATAAGTTAAAATTAGCTTTGGGCAGTTATAAAAATACTAGTCAAAGAATAACCGAAATAGCCCCTTCAAATATTTGTCAAAGGTGGAATAACACCCATCTGTTGGATACTTGAAAGCTGTGAAATGGAACATACTTTGATATTTGATTACAGTTACTTATTTTATTGTATTCTATAATGTTTAAACGCTTTAAAATTCAAGTAGTTCATGCAAAATATTATGTTTCTTTTTAAAAGAATATAAAACATAGGCGAGCAGATTAACCCTGTAAGTGGAAGAATGTAGCATGAGTAGTACTTCAAATTTAAAACTCTACCCTGTTACAAAGACTTTAAGATTTTGGTTTATGGAAGTAATTGCATTATCTGGAATCTTGACAAAAACACTTTCCCAGAGGGCAGAGTCATGTAGTAGCCCCTGGCTTTTCTTCCCTACTGATTTTTGGCCCAAAAGAGATGAGACATTTGCAGTTGGTTCCAACTAACTTGCATAAATCAGAAAAACAGGGAGAACCAGGGCTCAGGCATTTTTACTCTGCTGCGGCATCAGCTTCTTCACGTTCTCATTAAAGAATTTGCATCTGATGCTTTTAGTGATGGAATACACTAAGTCCAAGAGTGCTCCTTCTCTATGTCATGCTTTTGACAAAGGCAAGAGAGAAGGCATACAAATGCAGCTTCAACTGGTTTACAATACGTTATACCTATTCCTGAATCAAATTTAATTGGATAAAGAACAT